GTTTATTTTTTTTTTGATGATGCAAAGAGATGTTGCTTCTCTTCTTTTACAAAAAATTGCCATATACAAAACTAATTAACGCCTTAAATGGTTATGTCGTATATTTGATCTATTGTATTGACATTAATTGAAAAGTGAATCAAAGATTCAATGACGTTTACATGCTTCCTGTCAATAAGCTGTCAAAGATGTTGTAGAGATGTCATCAATTAAACAGTTACATTACATTTGTTTTTTTATTTGACGATGGAAAGAGATGTTGTTTTTTTTTCTTTTACAAAAAATTGCCATATACAACACTAATTAACGTCTTAAGTAGTTATACGTATATATTCGTCATGATCTATTGTATTCACATTAATTGGTAAGTGAATCAAATTGTTAAGCAGATTCAATGACGTTTACATGCTTCCTGTCAATTCGCTGTCACAGATGTTGTAGATATGTCATCAATTAAACCGAGTCGTTAAATTCGTTTATTTTTTGTTTGATGGTGCAAAGAGATGTTGTTTTTGTTTCTTTTACAAAAAAATTCAATATACAAAACTAATTAACGCCTTAATTGGTTATGTCGTATATATTCAGCATGATCTATTGTACTGACATTAATTGAATAATGAATCAAAGATTCAATGACGTTTACATGCTTCCTGTCAATTCGCTGTCACAGATGTTGTAGAGATGTCATCAATTAAATAGTTACATTACATTTGTTTTTTTTGACTATGGAAAGAGATGTTGTTTTTTTTTTTTTTTTTTACAAAAAATTGCCATATACAACACTAATTAACGTCTTAAGTGGATATGTCGTATATATTCGTCATGATCTATTGTATTGACATTAATTGAAAAGTGAATAAAAGATTCAATGACGTTTACATGCTTCTTGTTAATTCGCTGTCAAAGATGCTGTAGAGATGTCATCAATTAAACAGTTACATTACATTTGTTTTTTTTTGACGATGGAAAGAGATGTTGTTTTTGTTTCTTTTACAAAAAATTGCAATATACAAAACTAAATAACGCCTTAATTAGTTATGTCTTATATATTCGTCATGATCTATTGAATTGAAATTAATTGAAAAATGCATCAAATCGCTAAGCAGATTTAATGACGTTTACATGCTTAATGTCAATTTGCTGTCAAAGATGTTGTAGAACTGTCATTAATTAAACAGATTCGTTAAATTTGTTTTTTTTTTGATGATGCAAAGACGTTTATTTTTTACAAAAAAAAATATGCCATATGCAATACTAATTAACGTCTTAAGTGGTTATGTCGTATATATTCGTCATAATCTATTGTATCGACATTAATTGAAAAGTGAATCAAATCGTTAAGCAGATTCAATGACGTTTATATGCTTCCTGTTAATTCGCTGTCACAGATGTTGTACAGTTGTGTTAACAAACAGTTTCGTTAAATTTGTTTTTCTTTGATGATGCAAGGAGATGTTATTATTTTTCTCTCATACAAAAAAATGTTATATACAATTCCAATTAACGGCTTAAGTGGTTTTTGTCATATATATTCGCCATGGGCTCTTGTATTGAGTATCTCTTATGACAAATATATTCGCATCATGAATAAAAAGATAAGAAAATCTTTATAAAATTGTTCAACATTAAAAGCTTATTACAAGAAAATTGGGAAATACCAGAAATATTTTAGTATGCTTGTTGGAAAACCCATAGTTTTTTTTTAATTCGCGTATCTAATGATTTAATTAGTATTCTTACAATTCGCTGTTTATTTTACAAAAACATGAAATAAAAAGGTGAAGACTTTAAAACGAACACAAAAAAAGCATCAATAATAATCACATAAGAATTATATTATAAAGAAATGCGCAATAACAATGAATTAAACAAAAAATAATTTGTTACAATAATTTTTTCAATATTTTTTTATATAAAATTTGAATTTCATTGGAAATTATACTCTAGTATCATTGGAATGATCGTAATTTTGTTATTATTATTTGATAATGTAATGAATGATTGCTTATTCACTAATTAAGTAAAGAAACTTATTTTCAAAAAATTGAAGAATAACATAAAACCACTCAGTGAGATCACTGGAAAGATCAAATTTTTATCTTCAATTTGCATCTTAACTCATATAATTATTATGCGTTGTTAATGAGTAATTAAATAAAATGTGATGACATTAAGACTAATAAAAAAATCGTCAATTAACATTACGTAAATTCTGTAACATCAAAAGATGCACAAACTTATTTTGATGTAATCATAAAATATAAATTAATTAAAATAAAATTGAAATTTTTATAAGTAATAACCAAGAAATATATTTACGTTTTATTTAAAAAATCTAAATAGTGAACAAATATATATTTACAACAATTTTATTTCATGAATAAAAAAAAATACAATACTTATCTGTTTAAACGTATGAAAAGAAATGAACAAACGAAATAAATTTGAAAATTGAATTGAATTGAAATTCATCAGATTATTATAAAATACTCGAATTAATTTTGAAAAATTTATTAAATATTATATTAATATCTTAGGAAATTTACTTCAATTTAAAGCCATTTTATTGCCTCAAATAGCCTTAAAATGTATATAAATTATTAGTAAAAATCTAAAAAAATTGAAATGATATCTCATTTATAAAATGTTTGCTATTATCGTTTCATTCATGTAAATATTGATATGAATTAATAAAAAATAAGAATTATTCATCATAAAATTTGTGATATTTTTGCAATCAAACTTACAAAAAAAAATAACAATTTTGTTAATTGTTTTTTAAATGATTTATAATATAAATGCTTTATTTAAAGCATAGAAAACATATAACAAATATAGTAAATAAATCTATATAAAAACAATTTAATTAGTTTTATTTTCAATCACTACAATATTTTTTTAACTTTTCATAGCATTCCCAAAACGCGATGCAAATCTCATAATGAAACAGATTCTTCCTTTCCCGGTTAATCGATTCGATCATCGATCATTTCCTACAATTACGTTTATTTTTTTTCACCTGCTCGTTCAAGATCGTAACAAACTTCAAGTGCACTTCGCAAGTCTGTCTCTGGCGGATCGCTTGTATATTCGTTATAATAATTATCTGTCGCGTGGAAACCGGCTATTTTTATTTCTTGGAACGCGTGCTTAGCTCGTGGCCTTTCGCAAAGTGCAATATTTCAAGTACACGAGTTAATTTACTGCTGCGGCCAAAACTTCCTCCGGTCTTCTTCGCTCTTTCACAAAGTTTTTTTTTAAATTTAAATTTTATTCTTTTTTCTTGTTGTTTTTCTCAAATTTGATCATTAATAAAATAAATTTGATACTAGAATTTTTTGTAGGGAAGGAAATGAGAAATTGATGAATGAAAGACTAAAATCATTGGTCTTATGCGTTTAATATATAGATCGCCATTACAGGTCACTAACTTCGCTGAGGTAAACACCTCCTATTTAGATTTTGCGGATTTTCCGGATACGGCCATTTCCCCCTTAAACAATTCGTTAATATTCCGTCATCTGCTAACAACAAATCTAAGATTAGGATTCTGAAAAAAATAAAATTTAATCTGTTAATTGTAAATTTATAAAAAAAATAAATTATTAATATGTATGAATAACAATTAATTTTTTATACTTACAAATAACAAACAATAATTACGTAGGCAAGTGTAAGTATCGCACTAACACCAAGTATCTGGACGCCAATTATCAAGGCCGCCGGGTAAAGGATTTCGATCATGTTGCTTCTTTTGGAGCTACTTTTTACGGGGAAGATGTTTGTCCGTAGATGTTGAAAGTTGGAGCGCAAAAGGACCGATTCTTCGTGAAGATCCAACAAGTCTACATAAAAAAATTGTTAAATTTTTACCTGTTTTTTTTTTCATTTATATTTCGCTTTGATGCGTTTGATCTGTAAAGAAGAAATGGATTGGCAAATACGTTTTTTTTTTAATTTGCAGTTTTTCATCATTTATATTTTTAATTACAAAACTTTAATGTGTTTAAATTTCATCTTGCAATGCATACTTATTGTAAGAATGAATAGTCTACTTGAAATCGAAAATTTTAGGTTTCAATTCATGTATATTTCCAAATTTATACCAACTATAAGTGGTCAAAATTCAAAACTTTTTATTTAATTATCCAAAAAATGTATGGTCTTTACGTTTCATCGAATTACTCGACAACAACAAATGCCAATTAGATGATTAAATACTCAATTTAAAGTGAAATATACAGGTTTCAATTTGTGTTTATTGTAAAATTTGTAACTGTCACGAGTTTTGAAAAATATGTCAAAATTGAAATTTTTTTTTACAAAAATGCAGATATCAAATTAATTTTTTTTTTCAATTCTACAAAAAGGAAATTCTTCATGTATTATACCTATTGTAAGAATGAATACTCAATTTAAAGTCTAATATATAGACTTTAATTTGTGATTATTGCCAAATTTGTAATTGTCATTGGTTTTGCACAATAATTTGTTAAAATTGAAAAACATTTTGTTAATTCTTCGAAATTCTTCTTGTTGAATCTTGGAACAGATTCAACAAGTCAAAATCAAGTATATAGGCTTCACTATGTATTTTTTCAAATTTTTATCAGTTACTCTAAGAAGTGATCAAAAATGAAAAACTTTTTTCATAATTCTCTAAATAATAATAAGCCAACAAAATTTAATTTTTTTTTTTTTACAAAAATGCAGATGTCAAATTATTTTTTTTTTCAATTCTACAAAAAAGGAAAGTCATCATGTATTATACCGGTTATAATAATGAATACTCAATTTAAAGTCTAATATATAAATGCTTCAATTTTTTTAAATCTTGGAACAGATTGAATAAGTCCATTTGCTTTCTAAAACAAAGATATATTTACCTGTTTTTTTATCTTTTCAATTTCCTTTCTATTCATTAGAACTGTAAAGAAGGAATGAATGTGCAAATACTTTTTTTAAATTTTCAATTCGCAAAAGGATGAAATAAAAGACTGTTTTTAGTTTTTGGGTAGGATTTTTACATTACTGTAAAGATTTATTGAAAGATCAACATTTTGATTGACATCAAGAAGTTAATACTTTCAACGTTCCAAAATCCTACGGCAAGTATCGTCCTGACTGCACATCCCGGTATCTCCCGTAGAAAATAACTACCATCCTGGAATAAAATACAGAAAGAAAAAAATGTTAAGAGTTGATTGATTAATTTCGAAAAGTTACATGATTGATATACTCACCAATAACAAATATAGGAGGTTATGAAACGAAGTAATAGCATACGGAAAACCATTGGGTTCATTTTCCCGAGTTTGTTTATAACTACGGGAGATAGTGGTTTGTTATTTTAAAATAAACTTGTTGCTTGAAGACAATACAACACAAAATGAAGGTGAATTTTCGAAACGCACGTTGAACGAATTTAGAAATGCGATAAAAAATTTAGTAATATTTTTTTTTTTGCTTCAGTTTTTCAGACGATTCATAAATATTTCGTTCAACATTTTGCATACACAAATAATTTGTTTTCATTTGCTTTGAGAATGAATAAATTGTTACATTCATATTTTAAATTATAAACATTTAATATGTTTAAATTGTTTCACAATTTAACATATAATAATAGATTATATAATATAAGCTGTCAAATTCGAAGAACATTTATTTCAATCTCCAAAAGTACAATGTTTTCATGTTTTACTTGACCACAACGAATGTCAATTATAAGATTGAATACTCAATTTAAAGTCTAATACATAGACTTTAATTTGTGTTTATTTTCACCTTTGTAACTATTAAGGATTTCGAATAATAAGCTGTCAAAATCGAAGAACATTTTTTTAATTCTCCAAAAGTGAAATGTTTTTGATGTTTTACTTGATAACAAAGAATGTTAATTTTAAAATTGAAAACTCATTTTAAAGTCTAATATATAGACTTTAATTTGTGTTTATTTTCAACTTTGTAACTATTAATAATTTGGAATAATAAGCTGTCAAATTAGAAGGACAATTTATTCAATTCTTTCAAAAGTGTAATGTTTTCTTGACAACAACGAATGTCAATTATAAGATTGAATACTCAGTTTAAAGTGTAATATATATACTTTAATTTGTGTTTATATCCAACTTTGTAACTATTACCCATTTTGAATAATAAGCTGTCAAATTCGAAGAACATTTTTTTTCAATTCTCCAAAAGTGCAATGGTTTCATGTTTTACTTGACAACAACGAATGTCCATTATTAGAATGAATACTCAATTTAAAGTCTAATATATAGACTTTAATTTGTGTATACAACTTTGTAAGTATTAACGATTTGGAATAATAAGCTGTCAAATTCGAAAAACATTTTTTTCAATTCTTTCGAAAGTGCAATGTTTTCATGTTTTACTTGACAGCAATGAATGTCAATTATAAGATCGAATACTCATTTTAAAGTCGAATATATAGACTTTTATTTGTGTTTATTCCTAACTTTGAAACTATTAACAATTTTGAATAATAAGCTGTCAAATTCGAAGAACATTTTTTTCAATTCTCCAAAAGTGCAATGTTTTCATGTTTTCGTTGACAATAACGAATGTCAATTATATAATTGAATACTGATTTTAAAGTCTAATATATAAACTTTAATTTGTGTTTATTTTCACCTTTTTAACTATTAACGATTTGGAATAATTAGCTGTCAAATTCGAAGAACATTTTTTTCAATTCACGAAAAATGTAATGTTTTCATGTTTTATTTTTTTACTCAAAAACAACGAATGTCAATTATAAGAATGAATACTCAATTCAAAGTTTAATATATAGACATTAATTTGTGTTTATTCCTAACTTTGTAACTATTAGCGATTTTGAATAATAATCTGTCAAATTCGAAGAACATTTTTTTCAATTCTTTCAAAAGTGCAATGTTTTCTTGTTTTACTTGACAACAACGAATGTCAATTAAAAGATTGAATATTCAGTTTAAAGTCTAATATATAGACTTTTATTTGTGTTTATTCCTAACTTTGTAACTATTAGCGATTTTGAATAATAAGCTGTCAAATTCGAAGAACATTTTTTTCAATTCTCCAAAAATGCAATGTCTTCATGTTTTATCCTTTTACTCGACAACAACGAATGTCCATTATAAGAATGAATACTCAATTTAAAGTCTAATATATAGACTATAATTTGTGTTTATTTCCAACTTTGTAACTATTAACTATTTCAAATAATAAACTGTCAAATTGGAAGAACATTTTTTTCAATTCTTCAAAAATGCAATGTTTTCATCTTTTATCCTTTTACTCTACAACAACGAATGTCCATTATAAGAATGAATACTCAATTTAAAGTCTAATATATAGACTTTAATTTGTGATTATTTGCTAAATGTGTAGTTGCCATAAGTTTTGCATAATAATTTGTCAAAATTGGATTTTTTTTTAAATGCAATGTCGTTTTATAATTTGTGTTTATGAATTCGTTCATATTGCTTCTTTTAAAGTTACTTCATACAGGGAAGGTGTTGATCCGTAGATATCGATACGTTTCATTTGTAAGGAAGAAAAGGATGAAATAAAAGACATTTTTTAGCTTTTGGGTTGGGTTTTTACATTGCTGTAAAGATTTATTGAAAGATCAACATTTTGATTGACATCAAGAAGCTAATTATTTCAACATTTTTAAAATCCTACGGCATGTAGAGCCTTTCCTGCTCTTCTCGGTAATCCCATAGTCTTTTGAACAATTTGTATAGTACATAGTACATGCTAGAACAACAACAAAAATGATGAAAAGAGTTGAATGATCAATTACGAAAAATTGATATACTCACTGATAACAAAAATAAGAGGATACTATACAATATAAAACAATAAATAAAATCAAGCCACGACCGTTGCACATTTTTCCGGATCTGTTCTTATCTACGATATGAGGGGGGAGGTAGACCGGAAGGAATATTAATCAAATAAGTACGTATCACTGGAAGACTTCACAACATAAGATTAACGTGAATTTTTGAAACGCCCGAATTTCGAAAGCCGATGAAAAAGTTTATTTCTTTTGCTTCAGTTTTTTTCAGACGATTTACAAATATTTCGCTGAATATTTGTAAACACAAATAAATTGCCTTCATTTGCTTTAAGAAAAAATAATTTGTTCTACTTAATAATTTAATAATAAACGAGCAACAAGTTTTTCATCATTTATATTTTTAATTACAAAACTTTAATAAGTTTAAATTATCTCACATTTCATCTTGAAATGCATACTAATTGTAAGAATGAATACTCTACTTGAAATCATAGTTTATACGTTTCAATTTATATATATTTCCAAATTTATATCAACAATAAATGGTAAAAATTCAAAACTTTTTATTTAATTATTCAAAAATGCATGGTCTGTACGTTTTATCGAATTACTCGACAACAACAAATGCTAAGTAGAAGAATAAATACGTAATTTAAAGTCAAATAAACAGGCTTTAATTTTCGTTTATTGCTAAAGTTGTAGCTATCATGGGTTTTGAATAAAAAGTTGACGAATTTGAAAAACACTTTATTTGCATATACTTCACGTTTTATAGTATAACACGGCAGTAACTTATACCAATTATAAGAATAAATATTCAATTTAGAGTCTAATATATAGGCTTTCGTTTGTGATTATGAATCCGTTCACATTGTTTCTTATTAAGTTACTTCTTACAGAGAAGACGTTCGTTCGTAGATTTTCAAAGTTGTGGAGTAAAAGAACAAATCTTTGTGGTGATTCAACAATTGGATTTTCTATCTAAAAAAAAATTGTTAAATTGTTACCTGTTTTCTTTTTTTTTCTATTTCGCCTCGATTTGTATGATCAGTAAAGAATAACGAAGATTTTGAAAGTTGTGGAGTAAAAGGAAGGAATCTTAGTGGAGATTCAACAATTGGATTTTCTATCTAAAAAAAATTGTTAAATTGTTACCTGTTTTCTTTTTTTTTTCTATTTCGCCTGGATATGTATGATCTGTAAAGAAGAAATTGACTTTTTTTGAATTTGCAATTCGCAAAAGGATGAAATAAAAGAGAATTTTTAATTGTTGGGTTCGTTACATTGCTGTAAGTTTTATTGAAAGATCAACATTTTGATTGACATCAAGAAGCTAATACTTTCAACATGTTAAAATCCTACGGCATGTAGTATCTTTCTAGTTCATCCCGGTATTTCCCGTATAGAACGATATACATACTGGAATAAAACAAAAAACATGTAAAGAGTTACATGATCAATTTCGACAAAAAATAATGTATGATTGATATACTTACTAATAGAAAAAAAAGGACACTATAAAACAAAATAAAAGTATTAGGAAAATGATGCCTCGGCCGTGACACATCTTCCCGTGTTTGTTCTACTCTACGGGGAGAGGGGTGACTAGACAAATAGGAACGTTTAACCGTTTGTAGGTACGATACGATTGTAACGTGAATTTTCAAAACGCACGGTGAACGAATTTCGAAATGCGATGAAAAAGTTAACAATGTTTATTTCTTTTGCTTCAGTTGTTTTTTTCAGACGATTCGCAAATATTTCGTTGAACATTTTGCATGCACAAATAAATTGCCTTTATTTGCTTTGAGAAATAATAGTTTTGTTATAATTATTAATATACGAGCAATTTTCATCATTCACATTTTTAATTACAAATATTTAATAAGTATAAATTATTTCACATTTTATAGTATAATTACAACAACAATGCATACTAAATATAAAAATGAATACTCTACTTAAAATTGAATATATAAGCTTCATTTTATCTATATTTCCAAATTTGTATTAATTACTCTAATAAGTGGTCAATTATTGAATTTTCCAAAAATGCAATATCTTCACGTTTTATTGTATTACTCGACAACAACGAATGTCAATTAGAAGATTAAATACTTAATTTAAAGTCAAATATACAGGCTTCAATTTGCGTTTATTTCCAACTTTGTAGATGTAAACAGTTTTGAATAATACGCTGTCAAAATTGAAAAACATTTATTTTTTATTTTACAAAAATTCAGAGTTTTTACGTTTATTCGACGACAACGAATGACAGTTATAAGAATGAATAGTCAATTTAAGGTCAAATATAAAGCCTTTAATTTTCATTTATTTCCAACTTTGTAACATTTAGCGATTTTGTATAATAAGCTGTCAAATTTGAAAAACAAATTTCTCATTACTACAAAAAATGCAATGTCTTCATGTTTTATCATTTTACTGGACAATAACTAATTCCAATTAGAAGAATGAATACTCAATTTAAAGTATAATATATAGACTTTAATTTTTAATTATTGCCAAATTTGTAGATATCATAAATTTTGTATAATAATTTCTCAAAATTGAATAATTTTTCAAAAATGCAATATCTTTACGTTTTATTGTATTACTCGACACCAACGAATGTCAATTAGAATAATAAGTTCTTAATTTAAAGTCAAATATACAGGCTTCAATTTTCGTTTACTTCCAACTTTCTAACTATTTTCGATTTTGAATAATAATCTGTGAAAATTGAAAAAAAAATATTTTCTATTTTACAAAAATTCAGAGTTTTTACGTTTATTCGACGACAACGAATGACAGTTATAATAATGAATGCTCAATTTAAGGTTAAATATAGAGGCTTTCATTTTCGTTTATTTCCAACTTTATAACATTTAGCGATTTTTAATAATAAGCTGTCAAATTTGAAAAACAAATTTCTCATTACTACAAAAAAATGCAATGTCTTCATGTTTTATCGTTTTACACAACAACAACGATTATCTATTACAAGAATGAATACTCAATTTAAAGCGTAATATATAGACTTTAATTTTTAATTATTGCCAAATTTGTGGATGTCATAGGTTTTGTATAATAATTTCTCAAAATTGAATAACTTTTTTTTAATTTAAAAAAAAATGCAATTTCTTCACGTTTTATTGTATTACTCGACACCAACGAATGTCAATTAGAAGAATAAGTACTTAATTTAAAGTTAAATATACAGGCTTCAATTTTCGTTTACTTCCTACTTTGTAACTATTTTTGATTTTGAATAATAAGCTGTCAAAATTGAAAAACATTTCTTTTCTATTTTACAAAAATGCAGAGTTTTTACGTTTTATCGTATTACTCGACACCAACGAATGTCAATTAGAAGATTAAATACTTAATTTAAATCAAATATACAGGCTTCAATTTGCGTTTATTTCCAACTTTATAGCTGTCACAGGTTTTGAATAATAAGCTGTCCAATTTGAAAAACATTTATTTTCTATTTTAAAAAAACTGCAGAGTTTTTACGTTTTATCGTATTATTCGACAACAACAAATGCCAGTTATAGGAATTAATACTTAATTTAAGGTCAAATATAGAGGCTTTCATTTTTATTAATAAGTTGTTAAATTTGAAAAACAAATTTCTCAATACTACAAAAAAAAATGCAATGTCTTCATGTTTTATCATTTTACTCGACAACAACGAATGTCAATTATAAGAATGAATTCTCAATTTAAAGTCTAATATTTATGCTAACTTTTTGTTTATTTCCAACTTTGTAACTATTAGCGATTTTGAATAATACGCTATCAAATTTGAAGAACATTTTTTTCAATTCTCCAAAATTGCAATGTTTTTATGTTTTATCGTTTTACTTGATTACAACAAATACCAATTATAAGGATAAATACTCAATTTAAAGTCTAATGTGTAGACTTTAATATGTGATAATTGCTAAATTTGTAGTTGTCATAGTTTTTGCATAATAATAGTTCAAATTTCAATGTCTTCATGTTTTACAATTTGTTTATGAATCAGTTCATATTTCTTCTTTTGAAGTTTCGAAATTGTAGAGCAAAATGAACGAATCTTGGTAGAAATTCAATAAGTCGATACGTTTTACCTATTTTTTCTTTTGTAATTCACATCAATGTGTTTTATCTGTAAAAAAAAGAAATGGACTCGCAAAGCATGAAATAAAAGATATTTTTTAGCATTAGGGTTGTGCTTTTACATTGCTGTAAAATTTATTGAAAGATCAACATTTTGATAGACATCAAGAAGTGATTTCAATAATTATAAAATCCTAGTGCCTGTTGATCCTCCTCTGTTCTTCCCTGAATCTCCGTACGTTTCTGACTATCTCGTATACCATATCGTGCATGCTAGAGTAACAAATAAATGATGTAAAGAGTTGAATGATCAATTTCGAAAAATTGTATAATTGATATACTCACGGATAACAAATAATTGCGGTTAAAATACAATCTAAAATAATAAGCCAAAACATCAAACGAGCGTTGATAACTATCGGTTCCATTCTTATGTACGGGGGAGAGGAACAGCCGTAGGTATGAATTATAAACAAATAGGTACGTGTCACTAGAAGACTGCACAATATTAAAATAACGTTAATTTTCGAGATACACGGAGAACGAAATTCGAAACGCGATGAAAAAAACTTTATTTCTTTTGCTTCAGTTTTTCAGACGATTCACAAATATTTCATTGAACATTTTGCTTACAAAGATAAATCGCCTTCATTTGCTTTGAGAAAGAATAAATTGTTATACTTAATAATAAACGAGTAACTAGTTTTCCATCATTCATATTTTAAATTACAAACATTTAATATGTCATGTCTTCATGTTTTATTGTATTACTCGACAACAACGAATGCCAATTATATGAATAAATACTCAATTCAACATCCAATATACAGACTTTAATTTGTGTTTATTTTCAACTTTGTAACTATTATCGATTTTGAATAATAAGCTGTCAAATTTGAAAATCTGTCAACTTTGAAAAGCTGTCAAATTTGTGTTTAATGTCAAATTTGTAGCTGTCATGTCATGTTTTATTGTATTACTCGACAACAACGAATGCCAATTATATGAAGGAATACTCAATTCAACAATCAATATACAGGCTTTAATTTGTGTTTATTTTCAACTTTGTAACTATTATCGATTTTGAATAATAAGCTGTCAAATTTGAAAAGCTGTCAAATTTGTGTTTATTGTCAAATTTGTAGCTTCATGTTTTATTGTATTACTC